ATAAAATATTCTTTATATTTTTTCTAAGTGGCTGCTAAAAGTTACAGAATTTTAATTAAACGTTGTTATTGAGACATGTAACTAGAACCCTCTAGATCTAAATCTTATTTTAACTACCAACTTAATTAATTTACCTGCTAAGTATTATTATAGTGAGAACGGTGACAGCTATACTTATACCTGTTATGTGACAGCTATCGGCGCCTTCCAATCCGAATTGTAGCTTCATTTGTTTGAACGATAATGTAGTAATTAGAAATAAATTAAGGATGGGAATAGTTACTTTATTTTAACTAAACCTATCAATAAATACATATTCTAAATATATTTGTTACTGGATGATAGGAAAAAAGTTGTTACTAGTAAGTAATGTTGGCTTCACGGAACAGTATTCTTTGATGGAATTGCATTTCACAGACATACAAAGTTTTTTCGCGGAGAATAGCTACTGAATATGGTACACAAGGCTATTTTTGATACAATACTTTTTAAACAAATAATTACAGTGAACACTGAAAGTTTTTTATAAATGAAAAGAAATATTTTAAGGTTTCTTAGGTCGTTACGTTACGATATCAATTTTTGTATAATTATTCCCAAATTGTATAATGATTTTACATTTGTATAATGATTCCCAAATATTGTTTATTTAAATAAAAAGTGTAATGGTTACAGCACGGTTTTATGAAGATATCAATATATTAACCATTCATAAAGTTTCAATTAAGAATAAAATTATCAGTAAGTTGACATTCCTTTTATTTCTCAGTCATATTTAACAATAAAAAGCGACTAGATATTTAATTATATATATATTAATTGAGGTCTTACAAACTAGTTTTTACTCCAATGATTGGGTGTTTTCCTTCGGAATAATGTGGCATATTGTACATTGTAATCGGCGAGTATTAATGACGATACAAATAAGTTACATTGTGTATTAGAAATTAACCAAATTATTCTCGGAAGATTGTTAATTAGTTTTGCCATAAACAATTTACTGATTCCTAAAGACTCCAACCTGGAGAAAATATAAATAGCTATATTATTCTATTATTCGCAATTGTGATAAAGATATTGTAAAGATCCATTAACTTATTAAATATTTCTCTGTTTATGTAAATATATGTTTTGCTTTCAATTATAATGTGACTTTAAAGTTTTTTACACAACACACACTCTACCACATAATTCTCTAACACAGTTACTTTTGAACGAAAAATGGCCAGGATACAAAACATTTTACATAAAATAATAATAAACAGTTGTATAACAAATCTTCCCATACGTCCAAGTTAAGGTTGATTATTATGAATATATTTATTATTGCTTTAATTTTGTTTCATAAATGGTGTTTCTATTCACAATTTTAATCAATGCTCGCTGATATAATATACATATTACTACTACATTGTGCTACTAGTAACTATTTAAACAGGACCAGGAACAACTATATAGTTTTTAAGAGAAGTAAAATATATTTTTTAAAAGAAATAATATTGTTATGAACCGTTTGACATAAATACAAGGAACATGTGGCGGACCCAAATTTTGAAACGTTACAAGGTTTTAAATTCATATTAAATATATTTATGAAGATTTTTGAATTGTTCTATTCACGATATTCATTGCGAGTTACAAATATATTCGTTTGAATTCTAGTTCAAATATTTTATTCTGTCAGACATGACATAACAGAGATTGTTTGTTTTTTAATTTAAAGTTAATATGAAGTTGTTAAATAAATTTAAAAAGCGTACCGACAAATCAAGTAGAAATATCTTTATTCCCTTTGAGTGTGATAAAACAAAGTTATTATAATTGATTAGATCAGATAGTAAAGGAGGAAATTGGTTGCTAAATTTTACCCGTAAAACGGACTATAAAACTTAATTAGTAGAAACATAAATGATACATTAATAATTATTATTATTCTTATGCCCACCCTTGTTATATGTTACTTAATTTAAAATGTGCATAACGTCGAACTTCCATTTACTTAATTAAAATCAGCAGCAAGATTATATTTTGATGAAAATAAAATTGAATTTGTGTTTGGAAAACGCAAAATAAAAAAATATTCCATTTTAAAATATTTTGTAACTTCAAAAGTATAATTATATTCTACTAATTCATAAATATATTGTTAAATTTGACTGTTTTATTTAAAAAACTAAATTTTGTGCCTTATATTTTAAACCTAGATGATTATTTTTGAAAGAAAAAATGTTGTGCAAAACACAACACAATACTGTAGGTGTATAGTAAAATTTATATTATATAGTGACTTGTTTTAATTTATTTTTATATAAATCCGTTTAATTTAGAGATTTCCTTCAGTCTTATTTCCCATTTTCCTTTACTTCCTTACCCTTACATACAATATCTATATTGATAGACTGTCTCCATTGGATTCGGTTTATTAAACAATTTGTTTTTTATTCATAGTCAAAAGGTTTATTTAGTAAATAGGATATCATATAAAGTATAATACAGTCAAAACATTGCAACATCTCTTTTTATATGTCATTGGATTTTTCACAATGAGTATGTCACACACAATGTTCATTCAAGGAAAAAGATATCTTTTAGGGGAATATAATAGTTGATCTGAACTTAACAAGCATGATGTTGCTTTTCAGTCTTTTTATAACACTCATACATTTCAGTTGTAAAACACCTTTACTTAATAATTGACTCTTAATCTTTTAGGGACTTTCCAGTAGATAGAATCGCTACATTCTATGCTGTGGTTTTGTCCATACTATACTTGTAACATATTAAATGTTTGAAATATTTGAGACAGATTACGACGCTAACAAATATGGTTGTCATTTTACAAAATTTACATATTCACATTTCCTCCAAAATTAAATAGGATCGATATGATGTATAGCTTCACAATAAGCTATATATTTTCAGAGGTTATGTCTTTGCAATAGGATATTTTAAAGCGAATATAATGTACCTACTTATTATATTTCATTAGCTAGTAAGTTTAATATTTTTTGTGACAGAGCGTCAAATATAATAAAATTATACTCATCTATATACTGTTATATTAGAAATAAAATGAAAATAGTAAAAAATTATCATTTAATACATTAATGCGTATCACATATGAACGAATTTATAAAGAACCCGAAATGTTATTATATGTTAAGAATTTTGAAAACTTTGAGAGTTGAAAAACGCTATTTATACTCAAAACGCTTTTTATTTCCCTTTCGGTGACGCTGTAGAAGAAAATGGGGCTAAAAGCTACAAATAAGTCGAAACTTTTAAATCAGATAGCATTTGAATTATCATGACGTAACATAGCACATAGAAATATCTTTGAATAATGTAATTGATGAATTAGTCGTGGAAGTTGTTAGGTTCTAAGAACATGTTCGAAACATAGAATAACTGCAAAACAACGTCATACAAATTTAAAATTATCAATTTGAAATAAATTACAAAAAAAACTACCAGAATGCGAAAGATTAACTTAAAAGATGTCAATACAAAAATCACACATATACAGGGTGACTGGTGAATTACTATCGATATTTGAGGACGTGATATTTGACGATCATATATGATAAAATAAAAATTAATATAACATAAATATTAATAAACTACTAAGTAAAGTTAACCAAAAGTTATGTAATTAATTACGCATCGTGTGAGCACCCTACAGACTAGGTATATACTCACACTCACACATACGCGTGTCGTGACGTAGTGTTGTATAAGCACGCCGCCGCACGCGTCCACACTTTAACACTTGGAACGTGTCAACACTTTATTTATTTATACGGAAATTTTGTCAAAAATTAAGTGCCTATTTTTTTTACATAATTCGAATGAGAATCATGTACCGAGTATTCTCCTTAAATATTGATAGTAATTCACCAGTCACCCTGTATATATATATATATAGAGATAAGTTCCTTGTAGGAATAAAAATTTAATATAAGGGTTCCTGAAAAACCTAAACTAAATTGTTATAATTTTTGTACTTAAAAAGTCTTTAAGTAGATTCGTATAAAGCATAACAGTGTGAAGACAGATCTCAATTAATATTCATTGTACTCTTAGGAAATAAAAGAGAGACATCATAAGGTAAACTGCGAGGTCAAAAGGATTGTACCATGTAATTGATAAGCTTAGTGTGAGAAACAAAATTGTTAGAAAAGTACAAGGTGATGAATGACTTATCTTTCTTTGTCAACGCTGAAATACCAAAGTATAATTTGCCCTTACGGTATAGAGATACACATAGTTTACATAAAATTTGCCTTTATTAGTAATAACATTACGTCCTCCTAATGTTTTATTTCATGTACATATGTAGTAAAAAAAAATAAACTGGTGGAAAAAAACAACCCTGTCTGTGTCACTACAATTTGTAAAATATTAAGCCACGAGCTGGAAAAAGTATTTGAAATAAATTATGAAGTTTAAATTTAAATCAAAACATAATCACTAAACAACATTTACTTAAATGATTTTCTCTTCCTAAGAAATTAAATTTACGACAAGACTATATTGGATTCAACTAAACTATGAATTAGCAGTCGATTTCTAGAAAAGTTAATGAACCGGAACGAATTAATATCATTTTAAAATAAAGTACATTTAATAAGAACGTAAATTATAATTCCACATAAAACTCCAAAGTTATTAAATAGTTATGTAAGTATATAAAAAAGTGCTAAAGGTTTAAAAGTAAACTGCCAGTATTAAAGTCGACGACGCAGATTTTTACAATATAAATATTTAAAAAAAAATTAATTATTAAAAGCCTTTTGTTTTTTATATACCTTCATTAATTACAAAATTTTTCAATAACCAAACTATTAAAAATCCTTTTGGCAGTAAGATTAGGATTATTGCTTTTTTAGGTTATAAAAACATCAAATCCAAAATTGGCGGCAATCAGATAGTTCTTTATAGGACACTATTTTGTTGAGTTGTTTTTCCCACGACATTTACATATAACTTCTCTATTAAAAATGTACTCTCCGAAAAAGCAACAAATTGAAATATGTTTACTCAAATATGGTCTAGAAGAAATAGAAAATAATTTAATTCAACAAGTATGACGAGTGTGTGATTGTGTTCATTCAATATCAATTGTAAGTAAACTATGTTAATATTGTTTTTAAAGCGTTCTGCTATACCGGCGTTGGATGATGAAAATGAAAAGAAATACCGCGAAACGCTGACAGCATTACGTACGGCGCGATCCCTTAACGAGGAAATGGAGCGCCTTAAGCAAGAGAACGGTAATGACATCGTTAATGGCTATGTTGTCGTGTTTTTAAGTTAATAGTGATCACAGTTTAATTTCACTTATTAGTCTGTATAAATAAATTATTAAAAATTATAATTCAATTCAATTTTATAATTATCGGATAGTGTCAAAATTAAAACTGAGTCTTATGAATATTACGAGCGAATGCAGCAAAAAACTTCTTCAATACATTTTATTTTTCATAATTATTCACAAAACTCCAGATAAAAGTAGACATTTACAGAGGTTAAGGATTCTGTTTAAGTACGAATTACATAATATATAACAAAATTAACTAACACAAGTATATTAATGTTAAATACAGCTCATTTACGTCATCGAATGATAGGTATACATTAAAGTCCTTATTACTTTTGTACTTTGCCTTATATTAAACTATACTACTCTTTAGTATTCCAATGTATCCATATTATATTCGTATGGTAGTTCGTCTCACAGCCAGACGGATGCAAGTAAAGCGACAGGCTGATGACGTCACAGAGGCCCTACAACAAGCACGTGATCGACGAAACTCACTCGAGCAAGAGACGCGTAAAGAGGAACATGACACAGAGTTACATGTGTACTAATAGATAAATATATTATGATAACTTTAAAAATAATAATTAAAATATATATGTATATATTTTTCGTCGTGGGTTAACAATAGTTTAAGACGTAGTAAAATATTACGAAACCAACGTTTGACTAGTCAAAACATTTACGAAAATTTTAGATGAGACAGATTTTTCTGAACTATTTATGTAACTATTAAGTATTTTTTGTTACCTTCTAAAACCTTCAATTCTGATACACTTTTTATAGAGATTTAGAAGAGAAACTATATTTTTTAATTCTAATATAACACAACGTGCATCAGACAAAACTGTCTGCTTAGCACTATAGAGTTCTTTATTCTCTTAGACGAAGATATGAAGACTCGTTGAGAGAAATCGCAGATCGATTTCGTAACACGCCAGTGTTTTACGTGAGTTAAATTAAATTTATCTATTAACACTTTACCAAGCTAAAACTAATTAATGACATCTGTTATATTCAAACTAATTAGAATGAAGGGGAAATTAATAGTGAGTTGGAAATAATGAGGTCATTTATTGTAAAACTCGAAGACGAAGAATTCAAACGTCGCAATGAAGTTAAAGAAATAAAAAAGACCCTGGAAGATTTACAAACTGATATCCCTGAAAATATTATGGATATAATGTACTTATTATTTTTATTTTAATACAGTTATATTTTAATATTCTTACTATTTATTAATCTACCCTCTAAACCAAGAGAAACAGATAATATATATTTCTCAATTTTTTTTCAAGACAAATTATTTTATATAATTTTTCAGCGGTAAAACGGAACTAGAAAATGAATTGAAGCAATTATCACAAAGAATTGAAACGTTACGCTCCAAGAGAGACAATCTTTTAAAGAGTCGAAATAACACGTGTGTTATTAATCGTCATTTTTAATGATTAACTCATTTCTGATGAATATTAATATTTGTAACAATTTCAGTTCGTCGAGATTCCAGAAGCATTATCTACTCGCTTAAACTTTCAAAATACTAAACTTATTTCCATTATAACAGTTAATCTTTTTTCTATTTTCGTCTTTTTAGTTAAACATTGTTTTAATAGATTTCACTGTGGAAGGTTTTTGTTTTGTTCAGTACATGAAAATTTAGAACCCGAATTTGTTTTAGTATTTAAACTTTATGAATGTCTGTGAGATGAAAGTTAAATTCGTAATTTCTTTTTAATTTCTATTTCTCTAGAATGATTCAGAAGAAAAGAAAGAAATGAATACCTATTTGATTTGATTCAATAAATATGTTTAAAATAGAAACCCCCCTTTTATTAACTTGCAATTTAAGAAAACTCTTAAATTTTTAAAAGGTATAGTATTCCTATAATATATAGAGCAAGAGCCAGGGCCAGCCAGGCATTCAACACGTTCTAAAGGTGTATAAAATTTTCTTTCTCTTTCCTCTTAGTACAAAATTCAGTTTTGATATATTTTCATCGTAATAATATTCGAAATCTCGCTGTAAATTGCCAGGCACTTAGTAAGGTGGGAAACCCAGCCAGGCACCCCTAAATTATAAGTAATTTTATTTGTACTTTCGTTATAGTACATATATAAGCTGATTTTTATGTATGTTACTGAGGAAAGTATTAAAATATATTTACTCAGTAGCCAGGCAGTTTTGATGGTGCTTTTACCTGGCCATGCTCACTGAAAGTCAAACGCAAGGCAAGTAGAAAATTCGTTTGAAATGCATTTGATATGCTATAGTTTGGTAAGTTTATTTAAACGAGAGACTTTAAGAAGAAACTATAACGTTTATGTATTTTTGTTTTTATTGTAGCAATGAAATGATTTGGCTATGAAATTCTTTTAAGATTTATTTAAAGGCTTATCTTTATTTAATAATGATAATATTATAAAGATAAGGGGTCGTTTAAAATTAAAAAGGAATGTAAGCACTTCCGATCGCAGAGATACTTATAACTGACATTTATATTAAAAACGTAGTCTAATTTTTAGAGTTCGAAATGCATAATAATTAGTAATTCAGATTACAGATGCATCTAAATAACTGAAAACAATATTTTTATCCACGAATAATTTTTAATTCAAATTATTTTATCCATGACAGCTTATCTGATGTGTGTTATAGTCGGTCAGTCTTGGTCTTAACTACTCTGCTTTTGATTTTTTTGGACCTTTTGACCTTACCATTAATTCATTAGCAACTCCAAAAAAACGTGCGAAAGATTGACATAAAAATGAAAATATGTAGATGATAAAAGTTTTACTTTATTTGTAAAAAAATTAAAATCAACATTACGTGAAATGGAACGTAGTGAAAGAGTGAAATAAAACATAGTTATAGCAACAAGTGGCGCTAGTGTGCATAGGGCGAATCAATAAGATAAAACGAGAGGTTTGATTATGTCATCATTATTGAAAATTAACCAATCATGTGATAATATTTTTTTCTGTTTGTATATTTACTGTCAAACATAAATCGGAATCATGATTATTATGACAAGAAGTGGGCAGATTGCAGAAAAGTAATTTGCAAAACATTTGTTTCGTATAGTGTCAATTGATTTACCTTACTTTAAGTTTATCAAAAGTATTATTACACTATTACAAGATTTTCCAATGCTATACTCGTCAAAATGGGCTGCCTAACATGGATCCGAGGTAAGTGCTATTTTATATACCATAATTATTATGGCTAATGAAAATAGTTTGATTACTTATGATGCTAAAATGTGTGAATGTTTTTATATTTGTATATGTCTAAATGAGGAAAACTTTATTATCACAAACATTTAATTTGCGTCTCTTTAACGAAAAGAACTGAAGACTTAAAAGTAATACTATTCTAAAAATTCTATTACTGAAAATGTAACTTTCCCGAGTTATAATTATTTAGTAGTGTACTTATATTGAAATGAAAGCTAGTAAGTATTTTAGTCCTTTATTCAAGCTCCCAAAAGTACCACCCCCCCTGAGGTTATATGACTATTTTTAACTTAATAGCATCATGGCTTAAACCACAATTTAATTAGCAAACTGCAATTAGCTAGTTATGAAGGTATTTGTTATGATATTGAACTTGAAAATGGTTTTGGTAATAAACATTGTGATGATATGACTATGAATTGAAATATATTGTTATATTATATTGTTTTAATGTAATGATATCTCAATTATAAATTATATTACTAGAAAAGAATAAATGGTCTGACTTGAATACATATTGATTGTATATTAAGTCAAATATTATATTTTGTAACTGTACATATATTTTTTTATTAGCTGCAACATAGTAGTAGAATTTTTTATTAGCTATAATAAATTCTATCACTTATATTGTCAGTTATTTCATGTATATATTTCAAAAATTATTGATTCATTCTTACAATTTTACAAATTCCATGAAAATATTTGACCAATCCACCATATTTGTCAACAATGGAAGCTATAAACAACAGTTCTTATTTGTGAATGCATAAGTTTTCTATTTATATGATTTTTCAATAATAACATATCTTTTACAGGTTTTAAATTAACATCATTTCCATTTCTTCAAGATAGTGAACTCAACAAAATAGCTGCATTCTTCAATGCTTTCACATTCTTCTTGACATGTGCTGCTTTAGCCCAGCCGAGTTGGTTCAGAATAAAAGGACTGCATTGCACCCAGAGTCTCTCACTCACTCAATTCTTCACATTTGATGATGATGATGACGATGATGATCAATTTATTATTCAGAACAAGGAACTGGATCCTTTAAGTAGATCTGATTTTATTGGTACTATTTAGTTTTTTATATGCATATATTTGTCACAAATGTCTAAGCAAATTTGTAGTAAACAAATTCGTGATACTTTAATAATCATAATCTATCTTCTATCTATCTATCTATATAAATAAAAATGAATTGCTGCTCATTAGTCTCACTAAAACTCAAGAAACGCTGAACGGATTTATCTTATCTTAGTCTTGAAATGTTCATGGAGGTTCAAGGAAGGTTTAAAAGCTGAAAATAATTGATTCATTTCCGGGAAAACCCTAAAAAAAGTACTTTTCTATATCCCATACAAACATTGTTTTATTTGACATTAGATTTGACAACTAACTAATATGTCAATCAATCTGTAGCACTTCAGAATACAGAGAATTATGGCTTATAGATAAACTCCCAAAAAATAAATAAAAAAATATTTATCAATTGAGCCAGTACAAAGTCTGTCTGGTCAGCTAGTAGTTAAATAAATTATCACAGACATATCACCAATATTTTTAAAATGTCTTTTTCCAGGTCTACAACCATGTATAACAACTGAAATTATTACGCTCATGAGAATCCTTATACTTTTATGTTTTATGGTATTACTGAGCTCATGCATTGGAGTGCTTATAAATCTGATCAATCATAATAGTAAAGCTCTTAAAATGCTACGAAGGAATGCTGTACCAAGCATAATGTGTGTATTTTGGGTAATAGCTATAGTAGGTGTTTGCTACTATACTACAGTTGTTTTGGGTAATGCAAACAACAGTGACCCAAATACCATTCAAGTTGATTATGAATACGGATTTTACACAATAACTGGAGCAGGTATGTTATATTAGTTCATCTTGTTGCTATGAGATGATAATGATATGATAAATTAATTAACAGTTTGATATCAATATTATTTCAGTAATATTAAAAATTAAAACTCATTTGAAATTTAATCTGGCCTCTTGCAATACTGGCTGGAACTGATTAAAATATCACTGAATGAAATATTCTAACAATACTGAGTATTGTAAAGGCAACTGTAATTCTACACTAATGTGATAATGTGTCATATTCAATAAAAAAAAAACATATCACCCACACTATGTCTATGAACTTTTAGTAATTAAAAAAATAATTAACAATTCCAGGTGCCTTAGCTTTAGTGGCATCTGCAGCCAATCTATGGGGTGCTCCGCTTTCAAATGACGAAGATGTTCAAAGAAGGAATCTAATGGATGACTGGGATGGTTATGAAGCTCATAGTGTTGGCCCCACGCCATCAGTGCCTGCATTACCGCCATATACACCGAGTCCAATTTATGTACCAACAGTACATTCAGCTTTCCCAACACCAGTTCTCGGTAATCAACAGTATTTCCCATTTGATGACCTATCAGTTTTACCCCCTCCACCGCCATACACACCATAGACCGTTATTTATTTGACTCAAATACTATTCTTTCAAATGTTTTCTCATTTAGTTATAAATTTTGAAATTTCCTTTGTCTCATGACTAAAGGCTATTCGTCCACTTCATAGTTGTTGATGGTTTAATATTTTTTTGGCATATATTTATAATACATGCTATAATAATGTTGATGACACAGCCACATGATAGTATTAAAATGTTTTCTGCCTCTCTTTGGGAACCGTAAATATTATTTTCAATATTTTAATCTTATGTAATTAATCTTATGTATTATTTCTGTATACAAAATAAAACTTGTACTGTATAGCATATCTTCCAGCCCTTTCTTATTAAGTATTATTAGAATCTCAAACCAATACCGAAAGCCAATTGTGTTGTCCAAACATATCTGTAGAACTTGAATATTGAAATTAATAATTTGGATAAAAAATTTGAATGTACATTTTATCAATTATTTTCATTGGATTTTTTTTGTATATATGGTTGTGAGTTATAAAATAGTTCACTTTGTGATGTGATTTGCCATTTTTGTGCCTATTTGAACATATTCTTCGAGTGCTTTAATACAGCTGGAGAATTTATATATTAAAAATAAATAAAATATATGTATAAAACAAATCAATCAAAATTGTTTTTCAGAAAGAAAGTGTTCATGTATTATTATTGCTATTCATTTTGTGTTATAAATTAGTGTTATAAAAACTTTTCCTTAAAAAGCCTTATAGGATTAATGTTTTTTAATCGAAATATTATGTTATCATAAGTGATAAGTAGTGAATATTATTAGAATAGATTTTTTAGACTGCATGTATAACAGGAATTGTGAAAGGGAATTATTGCACCAATTTATTTCTGTTATAAAATTGCTAAGACGTTTAAAATGCTGACATTACAGAATTAAATCATATAACCTAATTCTAGCAAAATGTAGCTTATATCCGGGATTGGATAATAGAAGTATGTGATGTAGTTGTTATAAGCTTTAAATAAAGAAGCATTATTACATGCAAAACTGATATATTTTACGGAACTAACATTCATAATAATCAACTCAAGTAACCTGGTGTATATTTCATGTTACCAAAAATTATGAAGTGTTAATAGATTGTTTGTTGATGTATAAACTTCTAGACATAAGTATAGTTATTCCTGGCCATAACTGGGAAGTTTATTTTTACATTGAAATACATTACATTTTATTTTTATGTGAAACTAATATGCAATACATATCTATTAAAAATAAATAGTTGTTTCTTTTTATAATGAAATAAACTTATGTAACAACTTTAGAGTTCAAAATTAATTAAGAACATGATATAAGGATCTTAATTTAAGATTTTGTTCTTAACAATCAATTAGTTATTTAAAAAAGTGAATTTTCTTACTAATGTGTTTTTCATAATAGTAACAAGAAAATTACAATGAAATCATTTCATTGGTCATCCTAGTATTCTATAAATATAAGTAAAAACAAAACAATATATATATACATATGTATATACAACAATATATTTAAAATTGATGTTACAATGTGATAATAGGACAATGTACAATTTTCAATACATTTTAAAATTAGGCAAGATTATTGCATATAATTTCAATAATACTAATTAAATACATTTAATGACTTCAATATTATATCTCCCTAATCTTTTGCAACATAATTTGTACCTCATTTGACACAATAAGATTTTCAACCTGTGTTATCATCCTTTAGGGCGCTCAAATCAAAGTGAGGATGTTGATTAACTCTCTCAAAAGGCAAGATATTAAATGGTTTATTTGACAACCCTGTTGACTCTGTCTGGCTTGGCTCCTTACTGAAGCCTTCTGTCAACATACTAAGAGCAGAAAACTCATTTCTATCAATTGAAACATCCTGAGATTGGATATTAAGAAATTTCAACCTTTCTTTTTCCAAATAACTAACTCTTTCTTTGAGTATTGTATTTTCATCCTTCAATAATTCACTTTGGAGAACCATTTGCTCTGTCATAGAATTCAAATTTTGATTTAGAATTTTCAGTTCCTCAATGACGGATTCTTGAGTCGGAACAATTTTTGTTCCATCAACATCATCTCTATTTATATCAACCTCTTTTTCTTTAGATTCATTATTTGAAATTAAAATATTAAATAAAGACTCAGATTCATTTAAATTCTTATATATGGCTACTTGTAACTTTAGGATGTTGTTGTTGTCTTGAAAGTTTAATTCTGGATCTTTACTTAACAATTTAATGTTATCAAGTGCTTTTTTCACCCTTGCATACTGTTCTTTCTTATTTTTTATCAAATCTTTTTGTTTAAGATGGTAGCTGTGTTGCAAAGTGATTGATTCTAAAGCTACAGACGACGTGGTAGATTTCATGGCGTCCAGTAATAATTCAGCAGCATTGTGGTGACATTGCATGGCTTCATCATATCTATTATATTTCAAATGAGCTTCTGCTCGTCTATGTTGCTGATGAGCCTGTAAAAAAAGTTATCATATTATTACCGTAAAAAATTACGACGTACTTCCACGTCGTAAGATTAGCAATTACCAAATTAAGAGGATGAGTTTCCATATTACTGGATAGAAAATTTGAGTGACATCCAAAATGGCTTTGATGTAAAAATGTACAAAATTAATACAAAAAATTATAATTAAATCTTCCTCAGACAATATTTATTTACAAATAATATAATCTATTTTTATTTTGCAACGATTGACAAATAAATATCTGTCATTTTTCAAAATGTCAACCATTTAACAGTTAGCTTCTTGGTTTTAGACTTTAACTTTATGTTTTTTCTAAGACAAAATTATTAAAAAATACATTGTTTATACATTGTGAAATGATTGTGAGTTGATTCGTAGATGTTGTTGTATCAGGTGGTAAAAACCAAATTGGTTTAAATTTAAACATAATTGGTTTATATTTAACATTTCAGTATGTTATTGCAACAATAAGTAAAAAAAATAGAACCGCATTTAATAGTTTCTAATATTACTCGGAATTAAAAAAGATTAAAATTATAGTTATCTACGTTTCCATCATATAGCAACTAAACAAAAACATAGTAACCTTTATTTTAAGATAATATATTTTACCTTTAATGAATAATTTGGACACTAAAAAGAGGTGAAAATAACAAATGTCAAAAATTAATTTGTCTAAATATTGGCTAATAAAAATTACTCAATACCTAAAGTTATCAAATATACCAATAGCGAAAAAAGTTCTAGCCTATAAAATTTTTCTTAGACCAATACTGATATATTATTGGTTCCAAAAAAATTGTGATAAAATGGAATCTTTGGAGGTTCAAGCTTTGAGAACTATCTTCAAAAAACATTCGACAAAACATTTATATAATCAATTTAGTGATATAGATATAGGAAGCTATCAAAAAATTGAAGGATTGAAGTGGAGAAAGGCTACAGGTTTAGACTTAGGTACTTTGAGAAGACTACTTCACTCGAGTTCAAAATTTTTAAGTGACCCCAGCGTTTATTTCAGAAGAGCTGCTGAGGGAAGTAAAAAAGGTCGTTTATGTAGAATTCCTTCAAGAGACTTAAAATTTAAATGTACAAGGAAATAAATAATATGCAAATAATTTTTTTTTTTCATTGAATCCTGTTTGTTTTAAATAAAAATATCGTTTCATTAAAACAAAAGCAATATCATGTCAGTATAATAACAGTATAAAATATACAAAAATCACTTTTAATTGTCCCACCAATGAATCTGCTGTCCTGTTTTTGTTTGAACTCGTTTCCACGCATTTTCTTCGCACTGTAATAGCTGATTCCAATCTAAACGTTGCCTTCTCACATGATCTACAACATGAGTATCTCTGTAACGGCAATACACGTCTTTTATTTTTGGACGCAATCTTTTGGGATGTCGATGTGGATATTTTGATTTATATACTTGTAAAAGAACAGAACATTCGAAGCGCAACAGCTTTTTACAAGACCGTTCGTCAAGACACCATGTCTCACAACCATAAGTTACTATGGGCCGTACAAATTGCTTGTAGATTTGAAATTTTACTTTCCGTTGTAATTTAGGATCACATAAAATTGACCAATGTCTATAACACCAGAGACGTGCACATCTCACACGTTCAGATACTTCTTCAGTAGTTTGTACACAATTCCGTGGAGTTGCACCCGCGGCATCAAGACATGTCGTCATGACGTCATCATCATCTTTTAATATAGATGAAAATTATTAGCTAAATAAATAATAGATGAAGTGTACTACAAGAAATTGGAAGACAGAAAGAATATCATGTTATTTAGGAAGAATGACAGCTTTACAAATATGTTTACCAAGAATGTTTCTCAATCAGAACTAAAAAGGTTTTATGAAATGACTATAATCAAATAAACAATATTGATTCAATGAAAATAATTGTCTCTAATAGTAGTAAGTTTTCAGAAAAAAATATTTATTTTAATAATCATTACCGATCTTTCTTACCAATCTTTGACCTGCACCCATAAATAGTTCTTACCTTATAATAAAGTTATAATTTACCTAATGTAAATATATTCGTTAACCTTTAACTACCGACGTGGTTTTTTTGTATCACTAGTACCGACGTGGGGCCTGAGAGGCCGCATATTAAACACTGAGTGGTATGAAAAATATGTACATTAGACATCTATTTTTTAAGTTTTATCGTTAATTTGGGATCTATAAATGAAAACAAAGACACTTATTATAATCAACTTTATTAAACTTTGAAATTATAAGATCTTTAATCTTTAGCTCCGAATCTCAACTTAAAAATGGCACTTCCTGAAATAAAAATAATTAAAGAAATAATACGTCCTAGGAACCATGAAATAGACGTTTTTCTGAAACTTAAAGGTTATATCTATTCGAAAAAAAATTAAACTTAAATTGTTTTCATAAAATAAAAAAAATGTCCAACAACAAAGTTAGTCACAATTAGGGCAGATTTGTTTAGCGCACTGTAAACAAACATGTTTTTTACATGAGTAACATTGGTATGTACATTTTCTATTTAATTTAGGTGGACAAGAGGCACATATTTTTTCTTTTTTTTTTCGTCTTTTGCTTGACCTTGTTCTGTATTTGGCATATCAGGACCGAGTATTCTCTCTAAACTCATACGAAGTTCACGAGGCAAACGTAACACCATTCTCTTCATGTGGTCTAATACAAGTTATCGAGCTAACTGTTTTATAAACACACCGCGATCAGTGCCTTTATTTAGATGCACATCATACAGTATATGTAAATTGACTGAACTTATATCTAAGATCCTATATAAAGGTGTCAGAGGCCCACGTCTTGATCAACGGCTGCAAGCAGGTATACCGAACACTTTCTGTCGATTTCATCTACTCCGCCTTTTGTGGAATTATAGAATTTTATTATTTTATTAATCTTCTCCGATATCATCTACCTCCGATCCGCTGGAGTCTTCTGCAAGCAAGGTCTCAATCAACGCCGCGTTATTTTCATCCAAGAGATTTATAGGACGCCGTGGTCTTTTGGAAAAACGTAATTCATCCGTAGACGAACTACGTTTACCCCCTGATGTCCCTGGTACATCCATTCTTCAAATTATCCGATAGATTTCTAAAAACAAGCATTTAATTTCATTCATGACCCAAACAAAAAACTAACGTTAGTACCGACGTCGGGCCTGAGAGGCCGCGTCGTAATTTCAAAACAACATAACTTACCGAAATTGTGTTCGCCGGCACTGCTACCACATTCAAAGGCGTCGGCGCAACTAAACTCGCAGCTACTGACGAGCACGGGGCTCACGTGTGCGGGGAAGCGGTAAAACTTACAACTTGTTAACCCGCCGCGGCCTCTCAGGCCCCACGTCGGTACTTAAAGGTTAAGCTAGTTCGATTTCTACTTATTTGTCCTCTAAGATAGAAATACTATTATATTCAGTCAACCAACATATAAAGTCTTTTTCATCTACTGAATTTATTTGTCTTTTAAAACTACCACAACTACTAAACAAAAAAAATTGAAATCTTTTTAAAAACAGTTTTTAAACCCTTCTTACAAAAATATACTTTTAATATTTCTATAGCTCTCTTTCGACGCGTAAACCTTCCTTTCAGCCCTCAATTTTAATATCCTATACTATATAATGTCAGTGGTGGCCTAGTTATGTCAGTGGTATCCTAGTGGTTAAAGGGCCCGCCTCTCGTTCCCGAGGGCGCGGGTTCGATCCTGGCAAGTACCAATGTGATTTTTCCGAGTCATATGTACTTTCTAAGAGTATTTAGGCACCACTGACAGACCCTGAAGGAAAACATCGTGAGGAAACTTGGATTTACAATTAATTTCACAATTATAAGTTTGAAATCACCAACCCGTCTTGAGCAAGCGTGGTGATTAGTGCTCACACCTTCTCCATGAGAGAAAGAGACTTTTGCTCAGCAGTGGGCTCTGATAGGCTGAAGAAAAAAACCATTTATAATTCACGCATTGGCCTAAAAAAGATTGTTCTGCATGAATTTTTTCGTCCTTGTTTCATTCATATGTATTTATTTCTCCCTTTTTAATATAAATTCTGATCTTTTAAGATATGAGATTTTATATTTAGAACAGGATTTAATTTATTAGTATTAGATATGAAATATGTTATATAATAGGCACAGTAATTTTTTTGAATTGCTTAATAGGGACATCCAAATTATGTGCTTATTAATGTAGCTTGGCTCCGTTTTTTAGCCATTTAAGACTATGTATTTTGTAAGAACCGTTGGTATTTATGAGTCATAACCCACTATTAATAATTTTCGAGAACCTAAAACATAATAAATGAAATTCTTCTTGTCGTAATTTCTAATATTCAAATAACATGTTTTAACTTAAATTAGAAGCGAACCTTTTAAAGGACTCTCATCGAAACATAAAGACGAATTCTCTTAAAAACAGACGAAAATGTCGTTGCTTTTCTCAATATATCTTAAGAAGATAGGTTATTCAGACTTATTTAGTATAGGAAGTAACTCTTCTTTATATCATTGGTATTCTGAACAGGAGTAAATGTGATGTCTGAAAATATATAGTTATATAACATAAAGATATACAAAGAAACAAAATAAATATAAAAACCGTATCCGATGCATATAGCATTTTTCCGCAGGCGCTTTTATTTAACACAAAATCACGACCTAAACATTCCGTTTTGCAGTTGAAATATTACAAAATATTATTATATAAGGTAAATAATTAAGGGTACAGTAACTCTTTTAATATCTGATAACTTTTGGTTGGTTCACTTTCAGAGTCAATACTTAATGAATCTTATTTATTATGAAAAAATTGCGCTATCCTATAAAGGAAGACGGTTCTACAAATTAGTGACTTGATCTGAAACTTTGCTTTCTCGCTTTTACTTCTTAAAAAGTTAATTCTTCCGAAGACTACATTATGTGCTTATGCCTGTTATATAGACTACTTATTATCTGTCTAATTCGAATTACTTAAAGGTTTTTTTTAACATCTCACTATAAGGTTGTTGCCTTTCCATGCATGGGCAGGATATTTAATATCTATTAAGGGGTTCCCGTGTTGTACTAAGCGAGTCTTTGAAAAGTTCTAGACTCGGGCCTCTCCAACATAAGCAATATCAGTAACAAATCCATAGAGCCACTCGATTATTTGCAATTTTAATGCTATATGGTACCCACACAATATTATTTGGACCGTTCACTCGTTCGTTCTTTTTCATCACAATAAATGTAACATGTGTAATAAAAATGTAACAATACTTTTGTTGTTGAAGTAGAAACCGTTACTTATCAAAGGAAATATTAATCACATTAAGCGATTGGTTATGACACAACAATGTGTTGAAACGTTGGCTATTTATAAACAGTTGTGAATAACAAATGTGAACTGTAGTTTTCAGTCGTTTTCCAACAGTAAAAGCTGTAATAAAATGTTTTTTTCGGTTATATCGATGATATTTTTTAGTGCAGTAAATTGCGTGACTCAGCAATGTTCTATGGTAGATGTAAAAACTCTTTTGGAAGGCTGTGATCACCTCATAGGATTAAATATTACGAGTGTGGGTGGTACGATGGTCAATGATCATAATTGCGACGTTCTTCTTCCGAAACAAGTATTTACAGATGAACCTTTGTTTCAATACCCTCTTGCAGATTCGGTATATGGAATAATTATTAATGATAATAACGAAACAATGTAAGCATCCAATTTTACCTTACGTTTACACGATTACAGAAAAAGTTCTACACTGTACTAATGATTGATCCTGATGCCCCACCGCAAATCGAAGGAGAATTCTATCTACATATGCTCAAATCTAATATTCCGGTATGTTTATATATAAAGTTTTAAAAATATTTAATTTTACAGTGCGAGCTACCAATTATAAATGCGAATTTTATTTTTCAGGGACTAGCGCTTAAATCAAAGGAAAGTAGTAAAACTGTTGGAATAGATTACAGAGGTAATAAAATAAGGAACCTGATAAAATATAAGTATAATGTAACGCCTGTAACAAATACATTTATTATTATACAGTTACAATGAATATGCATTGAATATATTTGAAATATATGTGCATTTCAGGTTATAAACCACCAACGCCCCCTCGCGGATCCGGCATGCATCGCTACATGAGCCTATTGTACGAACAGGCCGATGGTAATAATTTTCTACCAAATGTTCCGTCGTCTAGAGGCCGCTTTCATCTCGCGAATTGGCTTCGTGGCAAGAACCTTTGTGGTCCGGTCGCTGGCTCTCAATTCAGAGTTCAATTCTAGATGGCGTTACTAACTATGTTTCTATAATATTATGTGATAAACTTGACCTTATTCCGATATTATTTCTTTAAGTTCGTGCAACAGTACTTAAAAATTAATATTTATAGTGGTTTTAATTGAGAAGTACACAGTGAGATATAATTTTTACTTTGCTGGAAATTAGTTCTGAAGGAATAAATGCACTTTTCATTTTTATTTACAATACCATTAAATAAATAAGGACATAATTACCAATTACATTCTTTAACTTGTATCTAATTTGCAAAATCCTCAGATTAAAATTTGTTCCTCAAATTTACTTTCACAGCAATAATAAACCAACGCATTTTTTTAGTCTATGCACGTAAATCATAACTTTTTTAAAGACATGTAACTGAAAAGAAATAAATTTTGAATTTCTTATCGACAGAAAACAGATGAAACAATTAAGTACATATTTTAATTTTCAAAACATATATTTGTCAAAATTTAATACTGTATTTAAATAAACGATGGTTACCTAACTGGCAATTAAAACTTCAATAAGGAATAGATAGGAGTACGCTCAGCAACACTGGCGCCAGTTAATTTGACAATGTCAAAATAGCTTGAAAAATAAAGGCAAGCGTAGGCTGCGCACGCGACACTTACCTCTCACCTACCCACGCCAGCTATAAACATTTTATTCTAACATCGCACTAACTACTGGTTCATATTTTATAACTCTTGACTTGATCAAGATTTGACTTCATTAATTATGTTAGTTTGTTATTCAAATCAAAAATTGACAGCTTATATATATTCAAATAAAAAACTATCTAGAAGATAAATAAAAAAGGTATCATATTAAAAACTTTTTATGATAAAATCACAAAATGATGACACAATCTCACCAAGTATGGCGAACGCTGAATAAACTAATCCTGACAAAGGATTCCAAAAATAAAGTGAATGTCACAAAAGACAATCTTTTCACTTAACTTGGGTGGTCTTTGTCATTTTATGGTGGCAATGAAAAATTTCGTACATACAAAACATTTTAAAACAAATGACCAATTTATTACACATTAAGATTTAAGATTGTACCAAAACTCGACACTCGCTTTTGTTACAAAGCAGTAACTGATGCCTCCAAATCTATAAACGTATTTTATTATTTCAACCACTAAAATGTTATCCAGCTCTCTCTTCCAAAAATCAACTGTTTTTAATAGTAAAATCGAAACTAATAAAAATGTATATTTGAGTGTCTATAATATAATATTAATATATAATATTAAAGTGTCTTCCTATACAAAAATATCAGGAAAAAGCTAATATCAATCCTGTAGCTATCTAATACATATACTAATATATGTATGCCTCTTTTTAACGCCTATATATTATAACTAAAATAATAGAAGTTGCAACTATATTTATTTTCTTCATCGATATCTTTATTTTATTTCCTATGTTATTGTAGTCTCCAAATTTGTTCATACTCAATAATAAAGAAAGAACGCATGTAGATTTCATTTAATTATTCCAAGTCTTATATTTTCCTCTGTTAAAAACAAATCCTAATATTAGTTATATTTGTACTCTAATAACAATATTTACGGTTTGATGTTTACGAATCATATGAATAATGTTTATTGATGATCAAAATGTTCTTAGAATGTGAAATATCATTCATGACGATGATTAATTCCGGTTGACCGCAGACTTCGATAACAATAAATTAATGAATGAATTAATATTCTACAAATATAATTATTGCACTGGAATCGAGTTATGTAAATCGTTGTATAGAATATTAAGAATTATAAAAGACATGTATTTTATTTGAATTGAAATGTATAGTACCAACATTTGATAATAGGTACATATATAAAAATTTTGTCATTATTGTAAGAGCTTATAAAAAAAATATATATACGTACAATAAGTTTTTGTAAATATTAATTTATATATGCTTCTAATTAAAGTACATATATAAAAAATTTTGAAATATACTTTTGATGGTACGTAATTTTTATGTTAATTTAAAATATATATTTTAAGTAAACAAATAAAAGAAATTTTTAATGGCTTACAAATAACATAATAGATGCATAGTTTATTTGTAAATAAAAATGTAGTTATTAATATTCACATCATTAAATGTCAAAATTCATTAATGGTTATAATAAAATCAGTTTTGAATTCCATCGAGTTTTCATAAAAAAAAAAACAAGATATTTTTACGACAGGAAGCTGTGTCTATCGTAAATTATATATATTTTTTAATATTGCTGAAACACAAACCATAGACAATATTAATTTAATTAAAAAAAGTTAATATTTACAAAATAATACAGGAGCTGGTTTTTTATTCAAAGATTTTGGCTTTATATTTTTATCAGTGTTTTTTTTTACTAGAAAAAAAGTTTGTGGGTGACCAGTCGTAAAATAGATATAGAGCATGTTTTTATGATGTAAAATTAATTTATAATAAATAATAATTTTCATGTTGACTGATGTATGTATCGTTTCAACCGGTTTGTTGTGGCGTGTGCTACAGAGTATAGCCGGAAATGCTTTGGGCCCGACTGTTAGCACTTTAAAACAGCTTTATAAATATTCAATAATAGAAGGCCCTAGATACAAACTGAGTGAAGTCGTTTTTAAACATCAATTAGTTTCCAATTTTTAAAGATAGCACATTTAAATAAAGATACATATTTAAAGTAATTTATGGTCTCGTCATATAATAATCTCATTTTGAATTATTTTGTTTATATTTCTTAATACTTCGAATTACATAACTACACTTCGATAATTTTAACATTATTTAATATTAAATAATGTTAAATCGATAATTTTAACATTATTTAAAACACTTCTTAATTGATTAATATTTATTGATAAATAAATTTCATTAAAAATTATCACAGAAACCTACGCAAAAATTTTATATTATTGGATTGTCTCATAAACCTGAATAATTGAAATACGGCTGACGTTTACTTTGTTTAAAATATCAAAAATGTCAATATCAATTCGGCGTTCAGTTAGAGAAAAGTTTAAGATTTTCTTCCGGCCTCCCACGCCGCCTCCGCAACGCCTCCGTGCCATAATAATATCAATCAATGAAATAGATAACATTTCCATGATACGTATGATATAGAGGTTAATAATTGCATCTCGTTTAGCCGTTTATTGCAACCGATAGCAATTTCCATATAAACATTTGTAATATAGAGATATTTAATAATTTATCCTTATAAAACAATTACATGGATTTATAAGTTGCTGTATTTTCTTTTTATAACAATATTTTATCGATATAAGCTAGTTATTAGGTTAGGAAACTAAGTACTTGTTATATGATCTGTAGATGTCTGATGTTGATAATGTTGTTACTATGTCCAACACATAATTTAGTCTAAGCAGTGAATAATAGGGTTGTTTACCTGTTAAGATAGATCTTAAGTAGTGTCAGGTGTCGATATGCAAAGTATCTATGCAGTCATCGTCAAAAGGAGTGCAACTAGTTTCTCAATGTTTAAGAGAACGACTACGTCATGCTTAAATCTGAACGAAGGCTAAGTGGAGGCGTTGGCAGTGCCAAAGCAATTAAATAAATTGATTATTTCCTTTCAAATTCACTACAATATTAACTATATATATTTATCGTCTGTCACATTAGCTATCTAAATCTAAATAGAGATTCAATTTACTAACAATGGCTATCATTTTGTAATATTGTGTAGCCGTTTCTGTTGATAACGTTTGTAATAACATGTATAATAGATAATATAACTCTCAAGCTGGTCTAGGTGATAGCGACAAATGCATAAGCAAAGCGACTTAAAGACCAACAAAACATCTAGAATAGCAATAAGACAGTTTCTCTTATCGTATATATAAATTAGTACTTATTACATATTTATTTCATCAGACGTGCTAATATATTTTAATTTGTTTCGTTTTCTCTGTGGTGATAGAGAAGAGATAAAGTTTGCAATCGTATATGAGTTGGGACGAGATATTGCTGTATCTCTTATGATGTTAATACAAAATAAACGCTCAAATATGAAAGGATAGCTAGGAAGTAAAAAAAAGACAAGATGTCCACTAAGAAGGTACTTCTTTACTCTGATCAAGAAGTAGTATCTATACAGTGAACATAATTATATTGCAATACAAAGACATTTCTGAAATATTTTCATACGTAACAATTTAACATGTCACATCGATGTTTCTTCAAATTTAAAAACTCGATACGTGTTTACATTTTCATTAGCAAGGTTCCCCAGCGACCGTGACACCGGTGCGTACGCAGCAAATTTGCCTTCCATTGATAAAAACCGTCGCCCACTCAACGGTTCCATTCACCGGCGCCAAAGGTTGCGCAACGCGCGTGCGTGACCCCCCCATACCCTCCCGCACCCCGCCGCAACCTCCTTCAATCAAAGCCTTCCGCAACAATGTCGCTATGCCTCTAGGTTACATGTCTAATGGCTTTTCCATATATATGATGCGTTTTCATTCATAAAACTTAAGCAACATAGTGGCTTACATAAGTTTGGCTTAGTTCCAATACAACGTTCTTTCGTATTTTATTATATTCATTATATATGCTTGTTAAGATTGAAATATAAATGTAAACTTATAAATGTACCGCTCTAACGATGGTTTTATGCCAGTATTGAGTACGTATGCCATAAAAGTAAGAACGGAGTCCCAATCGAGATTATCCGTTTACACGGTGTAATATAATACCCCGAGGATTTACAAGCAGAAGTCAATTCACTATCACCTTAATGCCTTTAAGTGTGGTGCTTGGATTCAAATTAATTGATGTGCAATTTATTACGATTTACAACAGTGCTGTTACGTAAATATAAGAGATCGTTGCGAATAAGTCCTTTCCCATATTTTATTGATTAAAATAATCTTTTACACAGCATGTTATTCAGTTTACGTAATGTTTTAAAGTGTAAGACTTTTATGAGTTAGCAGAAACAGAAAGTTCAACAAAGTTAATCTTACAGCAA